AAAAGACTTTAATTTTCTTTTCTTTTTTTTAAAAATGAATTAATTTATTTGTTTATCTTTGGCTGCGTTGGGTCTCTGTCACTGCGTGCAGGCTTTTTCTAGCTGCAGCAAGCGGGGGCTACTCTTCATTGCTGTGCACAGGCTTCTCATTGTGGTGGCTTCTCTGTTGCAGAGCATCAGCTCTAGGCATGTGGGCTTCAGTAGTTGTGGCACTCAGGCTCAGTAGTTGTGGCTCACGGGCTCTAGAGTGCAGGCTCAGAAGTTGTGGCACACAGGCTTAGTTGCTCCGTGGCATGTTGGATCTCCCCAGACCAGGGCTCGAACCCGTGTCCCCTTCATTGGCAGGCGGATTCTTAACCACTGACCATGAGGGAAATCCCGACTTTAATTTTTACAATTATATTAGTTTATATTTTTAATGGTAGACTAAGCTACTACATGAAAGACATTCACTGGAAAACTCCATCCAATGATTTACCATGATATTTCCAATCTTTACCCCAACACTCAGACTCCCTATTAAATGAAAGAATAGCAAGACTGTCAAAGGGAACACAGAACGTGACGATAAGAAAACAATGAAATTCAGAGAATACAATGCGAACGAGAAGAAAAGGCAACTAATCATCAACAAGCTGTTTTCATTAGGAACTATAGATCCACACTGAATATTCTCTGCCTTTTTCTCCTTTCCCTCCATTTGGTCTGTTGATAGGTTTATTTCTGACAGGATCTAGTCAGGAAGACAGAAACCACACTAAGTATTTCAAAAGAAATAACGTTGAAAATTTGGTCAACAGTTGTTGGAGAACCAAAAGAGCTAGGAGCTAGGAGAGAACGTGCTGCCCGGAGATAAAAATAACTGCAGGAAGCACTATGCCCCAAGGCTGGAGGAACAAAGGGAGGGGGCAGGGTTCTCAGAGTCTAGAAGCCTAGAGAGGCCTCACAGAGCTGGGGTTCAGCCACTGCCGGTGCTTCTGAGCGCACACTGGGGCCAGTTCTCAAAGTGACAGGAGAAAAAAGCTGGAGCCTGGAACCAAGAGCCACTGACAGGTCAAGAGCCACTGCTGCGGCGGGGCTGCCCAAAACGGGAAGGAACTTGAAACAGCAAGCCCCTCTCCTCCTTCAGCCCTGCAGCCCCCCTGTCCAGCTCCCCAGAGAGGCAGAGCCTAACAGCAGAGTCCTGGTGGCATAAAGCAGCATAGGTGAGGTTGGTGTGGGGCTGAGAGACAAAAGCTGGACCATGCACGCACTACACATTTAGAAAGAGAAATTCATCCCACGTTTAGGTCTCTGTCGCTCATCTTAACTCACAACAAACTAATTAGCCACAAAATACTGCAAATTGGGCAAAAGAAGTGACAGAGTAATCCAACGTCAGGCTGAGTTCAACCAGAGCCATGCTTCACCAGCACCTTTCCTTGTACCTTAGAGGAGCACTCTAAGGGATTGCTGTTAGCGGCCTAACTGTTCTTACCTATGAAAAATGGGCTCCTTCGAAGCCATGTGCGGGCCTGCTTAAAACAATAAGCTTTTCGAACCCCCAAGCGCGACATACTCTGGGAGCATGGTCTGGATGCTTATCAAACAAGTTCCTGAGCCATTCTCTGAAGTTTCTGGGCAAGTACAAACAAAAGAGTCAAATAAAATGCCTTTTAAAAGCAAGGCAGTGGAGCACGTACCCTGTCAGTGAGATCCTCATATCCCCACAGAGTAAACAGTAACATGAGAATATTTATACTAAACAAAACTGTATATCAAGCCTGCTTTGGCTCAGCCAGAGGGAATGATAAATTCCTTGCAGATCTCTCATAGAGTGGTCCTTTGTGGTCCATGGACGCCACTTCCAAGACGGTACAAACCAATTACAGAGCAAGGCTTTTCATTATGTTGAGGAATGAAAATATCACCCCCCCATTTTGTTTTATTTTACAGTTATATTTTAGTTAGCCCTCCCCCTTATGTTAAAGATGTTTTAACTTGTGGAGTCAAGCCCAAGTTCAGGTTGGAAGCAAATGACAGCCCCTCCCCACCACCAACAAAAGCCCTTATCACCTCACAGCCTAGCTTTTTGCTTTCCTTGTCCCTCTTCTAAGAAATTAAAACTTGAATTTAAAGTGGGGTAGAGTAAAAAACACTAAAGAGTTAATAAAATGTAAACTCTATTTGTCCACATCGATTTTGTCCCATTTACAATTGGCACAAGTCATGGGCAAAGTCATCTGGCAGGAGACGGAGGTTAAACAAGCTATGAAGCCACATTCCATACAATGTCCACTTTGAGGTCCAATGGAAAAAATACTGCAGAAACATTTGCACAAAGTGTTGGTCTGTTTCTAAGACAGTAATATGAGAAAAGGTTAATATGAATCAGGGTATTTGTTAGTTTGTTTGGTCAGATTTTTCTCAACCCAATTTGATAATCCTTCTTATTGTTATAGATCCATCCTGGCTACTTCTGCCAGCTCATACATAGAGAGAGCTGATGATGCCACATCCGTCCAAAGGATAAACCTTCAGCGACTTACAGCTGTTTCAGCTTTTCTAAAGAACCATGGTGGAGCAAGGGAGAAGGGGAAGAGAGAAAGACAATAGAAAAAAACAGCGAAATTAGAATATGAACAAGTGGTAAGAAGTGAGGTTGCACTGGTTTTGAAAATTGTTTATAACAAAAATAGTAAATTATTGTCTTAAATAGACAGCTGGGCTTCCCCGGTGGTGCAGCTGTTGAGAGCCCGCCTGCCGATGCAGGGGACGCGGGTTCGTGCCCCGGTCCGGGAAGATCCCACGTGCCGCGGAGCAGCTGGGCCAGTGGGCCAGGGCCATGGCCGCTGAGCCTGCGTGTCCGGAGCCTGTGCTCCGCAACGGGAGAGGCCACAACAGTGAGAGGCCTGCATACCGCAAAAACAAAACAAAACAAAACAAAACAAAAGACAGCTGGATCAAATGCCAAATTTAATCAACTCCATTTTAAACCATTAACTAAGCCTCACATGTAGTGCCCAAGTCCATCATAATAGGTTAAAAAGGGAAAAACAGATCTTATATGTTGGTACACTTTAATGGATATTAGAAATTTGACAAAATTTTATTTAGAAAGTGTGGGCTTAGTGAAATTGTCTTATTCACATGTTTGTTTTTTGTGTTTTTTTAAAAATTTTTATGAAATTAATATATAATTTTTAATAATTGTGGTAAAATATACATAAAATTTACCATTTTAACCATTTTTAAGTGTGTAGTTCAGTGGCATTAAGTATTCATATTATTGTACAACCATCACCACTATCCATCTCCAGAATTATTTTTTCATCTTCAAAAACTGAAACCCCGTACACCCATTAAATAGATGTTTGGTTATAAATAGGCCTTGCTCAAAACTGGCAGTCTAGAATGCAGTGATACGAATCTGGAGAGGTTAATCCAGGCAAGTGGCAAATGAATCAACTCCTACTACAACCCCAAATGACTCAGTGACAACCTGTGCTTTTACCCTCTCTCATGTGTTTAATATTGATGACCAAAACTGAAGCAAAGCTCTAGAAGAGATCTGGAAAAGGTGTTATTTCATTTTTACATTACAGCTTACAAAGTACTTCCATTTATCCCCTAGAACACAGTCTGAGTGGGAACTCTTTTCCCTGTTTTATAGGCAATGAAACTATGCCTACGGGGAAGGTAAGAGCAAGGACCAGAACCCAAGCCAGAATCCACTCTCCATCGCTTGTCCTACTAGGCCACATGGCCTCTGCCAAAGCAAGAGAGAAAAGAGGCATGACTGCTTCTCAGCTCTCCCAGACTCACTGGGTCTAACTGGAAAGCATCTGCTCTCTTCATCACAGCAACTAAACTTCCTTACACCTGAAAACCACACCTGGTTCATCATTTCTCCATCTCTGTTGTATTTATATTAACAGCAAAAAGAAAACACCCCCAAAAAAGCATAATTCTGAAACACAATGAATGCAATCACAGTCAAGAGTCAAATGTAAGTCAAAAAAATATATTAGGATAGATTACTGGATCCTATAAAAAGACTGAGTTCAACCTCTTTTTTATTTTTAATTACTTAAAATAAGTTCACATTATGTGCTCTTATTAGACAAGATCATAATCTTTCTTGCTAAACAAAACCTATGGAAAAATTCATTTCTTTGTGCTTTACGAACAGAAAGCATCTTGTACCAAAGAATTATAAGCACTAAGGATTTACATAAAATTGCCAGAATCAGCAAGTGGTGGCTTCTTTTAGTTCACAAAGAGGCAACCTATTTTGATTTCTTTCAAATAAAATTTTTCCACCAAAATCCTTCTCTTTGCTCAAGAGCAATAAATTCCCTAAACCTTCAGACTTCCCATTTAAATTCCAAAAAGGATAAATACAATCCCTTGAAGTCATGCCCAACACCATCATTCCACTTCTCCACATAAACATAAAAAAATTAGACAAATCTGGCTCCAGAATGAACAGTGGGTCATCCCAAACAAGGCAGGAAAGAATAATCATGCTTCGAAAGAGTAATTTTATTTTTATAACTCCCCCCATTTTTTAGTTACTTAGTACTTGATTTTTAAAAGTGCACATTAAAAAACTGATTACTTAAAAAATGAGAGTTGAATACAGGACTCTGGAATAAAGAGGTCAGGAAAACCAAATAAATTGAGTCCGTTTTTAGTTTTGTTCATGATAATTAAAGACGATTTGGCAACGATGGCCATTTTACTCAGCTGATTCAGGAGGGCTTCTAGTACATGCAAGTGCATGAACTTGATACAGAGGAGGATTTCACGAAGTTTTAATGACGACTAGAAATATCATAAGGCAATTATGGACAATCTATCAACACCTGTTGTTGTCACTGGACAGAGAATGCTTCCAGTTTTCCAATTCACAGCTGGAACCAAGCTCTTGGATCTTCCACTCGACTTCACTGGCCAAAAGAAAACTTTGTAATGGCTGATATTTTTTCCTTACAATTTCAATGAAGCCTTAGATTGGATCACATGAAAATGCCTCTGCGTATCTTCCAGAACTCCCCAATACCTTCCTTAATAGCATATCCAGCACAGTTCTTGCACTCTTGGGGTGTAAATCCAATTAATGCTCTTCCTTTAATGCCAATTCCCTGATCACTTGCCAATTTTTTAACTTGAGCTTCTATGTAATGAGGAGATACATAATAAAAATGGTCCCCAAGGACACTGTAAGCCATGTATTGAGAGCCTTCTGAGGTTTCTGTAACTTCTTGATCTTCAAAACTCTCTACATTGCAAGCTATCTCAATTTTCCCTTCGTGAGGAAAAGCCATCGTTTGGACGCCCTTCAATCCATTCACATTTGAGCCCCGAATGGCACTAGCGATCTCTTTTCCCAGAGCCAAGTCTTGAGAATCTATGGTAACATTGCAGTTCATCACATATGGGCTAGCGCCGATGCCTAAATCATTAGAAAAGCATGTTAATCAAGCAAAGTGAAAGCCTCATTTTGAAGATTCTATTCTTTACCCAATTTTAATCCAAGGAGTTTCCTTTACTTGGTTTTACTTTTAAAATAATACACAAATATTCCTCATTATCAACTCCAGAATTGTCTAAAGGTCATACATATTTTTAATAAGTGTTATTTGAGCTATAAGCAGATACTTTTATCTACTCTAAATGTATCTGGATGTTTTTTCTAGAATGGTTAAGAAAAGCCCAGACTTTCTAAAGTATCAACAGATATTTCAAAAGGCAAATTTGAAAATTAAATATCAACAGTAGCAAAATGTCTTGGCCTTCCATTCATTTCCAAGGCCATCTCCACAGGGGCTGGAATTCAGTGCCAGGACTACGGGTCTGGGAGACAGGAATAAATCACACTCTGTACCCATCCCTTCCACCCCAAACACAGACCTGTCATCACTGAACTAGGTTAAGATCAGATTCAAATGAACCTCAGCAACAGTCTTGGCTAGGAAAGGAGGTCACTAAAAAGTGACAAACAGTCTTGGAATTGGGAAGGACAAAGGGACTTTTGTGTCTCATGACCATGTGGGTTTGGCAGGGCAGGGTTTGGGGCACTATGTATACCTTCTTGGTATAACCAGTTGGAGGCATCTCTTTCTTCCATCCCCAGCTTCCCAAGGGACTGGGACTGCCATTGCTACTCCAGAGCCTGGTTACTCTAGAGCCCAGGGGTGACTGTCCTGCTTTTCCCTGCCTTGGGGAAGATGCAGCTCATGTTACATAAATAGCCCTGCTCTAATTATAGTTTACATTATAAGATGGACAACTTGGTTAAATTAGCATTGGTATAAAAAGCTTGGGTTTGCAGTTTCTTCATTTTGGGGGAACTTTACATTTCTAAAAGCAAAGTGACTAGGGATTGATGAGGGATAAAAGGCTGACCTCACCTTCAGCATAAGACAATTCTTTAGTTACTATTCCAACATTATTTTACTGTCAATGCTTTTTCTTGCTACTTTCAAACCTACTGCTCATGGTGTCAGCATCCAGTGAGAGATCCCGCTGAATTCACTTTCCCCTAGACAGTCGTGGTTTGGGGGCTTTGCTGCCTAGCCTGGGTACTCTCATACTAATAGACGCTTTACAGAAAATCAGCACACGGAAACCACATTTCATCTTTTTCCCACACATGTACATAATGAAACATTTCAACTCCCGAGGCTGGGCCTCTTCTTACTGGGAATTCTGCAGGAATGAATCAGATTACAGTATTTCTCCATAATGCTTATTTCATAAAAATTAAATTTCCTAACAGTCAATACACATCTCTCTCAATCTCATACACCAATCACTTACTCTAAATATCTTTGAGAATTATATCAGTTTTAACAATTCACAGAGTACAACTGGAAATTTTTCTTGTCAATGCTAATGTCATTCATTAAGGGAAAGCATCCAAGCATGGTTTCTCTCTCCTCTACCCCTCAACAGGTAATGTTACAAACAGTCCCATTTTTCTCACATCTGATATACATACCCTATTCTGACTCAAGAAGTGGCCTCGTTATCATTATTCAAACAAATAGCTAGATCACACTCAGATTTTGCTGAAAAGTATGTATAGATATATTGGGTTATACTAAGTATTGATACTATTCAAAATACTTATTGGGCCTATTGTGCTTTGCTATACCAGAACTTTGATATGCCCAGTCAACATTCAGATATTCATATGTAAGTTATCAGCTTGGGGGAGCTAGCCACTTCCAAGGCAAGTTCATTCATATGGATCCAGGGGTCTTCCTCCCCACAGTATGGTGGCATGGACCATTCCATCCCTAAAGACATGGGACTTTTTCTGAATCCCCCATCCAGCAGATTCCAAGCCACCTGTTACCACCATGTGCCCAATAACTGTACCTTTTGTCACAGAATTTCTAAAATTGATCATTCTGGCTAATAAATGAACTCATTACCTAAGATAAGTTATTAGATGTAGAATAAGCTTAGATGTTAAGTCCAGAGCACAAGAGTGCCATAAAGAATTCACTTGTCCCAACACTGATTTACTTAATTAAAATAAAATTCTACTTAAAAAATTCCTTCAAAAGCTAATTATTTCTTAGAAAAATAAAATTGAACATTAGAAGTAACTTTTATATTCTCTTCTAAATAAAATAAGAGTAATCACAAACAACACAGAATAATCATTTCTTTTGCGTATGCTCTTGTTATGTGTGTTTTAAATTCTTTTTTAAAATTTATTTATTTTTGGCTGCATTGGGTCTTTGTTGCTGTGCATGGGCTGTCTCTAGTTGTGTTGAGCAGGGGATACTCTTCGTTGCGGTACGCGGGCTTCAGTACTTGTGGCACGCGGGCTCAGTAGTTGTGGCTCGCGGGCTGTAGAGCACAGGCTCAGTAGTTGTGGCACACGGGCTTAGTTGCTCCATGGCATGTGGGATCTTCCCGGACCAGGGATTGAACCCGTGTCCCCTGCATTGGCAGGCAGATTCTTAACCACTGAGCCACCAGGGAAGTCCCTTAAATACTTCTATTAAACTTTAATTATACAATAATTAATTTTGTTTTATCATTATATCTTATTCAAGCAGTGAATAAACAGAGATAGTCAATGAAGCTGAGAAGTTTCTGGCCTAATCAGGTAGTAGTACCCTTCCTGAGGGGTTGTGAGGTCATGACCCATTTCTTAGAAAGAAAAAAAGAAAGAAAAGCAAGGAAAAAAGAAAGGGAGAAAGTGAAAAAGAAAGGGAAAAAGAAAAGAAAAGAAAAAAAAAGAAAAGAAAAAAAAAAGAAAAGAAGAAGAGGGCTTCCCTGGTGGCACAGTGGTTGAGAGTCCGCCTGCCGATGCAGGGGACATGGGTTCATGCCCCGG